GGGGGGGGGGGGGGGGGGGGGGGGGGGGGGGGGACAGGGGCCCTTAAATTTTGGAATGTATTTGGATGGGTCTGGGTTGTCTCCACCTTCCGCTGGGGACTGAGGGTGGTGCAGTTCCATCGGCCATAAGCTAATGCTTGCTGCCCCCCCCCCCCCGTCTTTCCATAGCGGAGCTGGAGAAGCAGAAAGGGGTGATGCGGCCCAGTATGCTGGGTGGAGGGGGGGTTGGGGGAGGTGGCAGCAGCGTGGGGGGCAGCGTGAAGAGCGAGGCTGTGAATGGAACGCTGGGAAGGCCTAGCCTAGATGACAGCTACGCAGCCGGGGAGGGACTGAAGCGGACTGCGCTCAGCTCTTCACTGAGGGACCTTTCTGAGACAGGTGAGGCTCCGAATGGATATGGTGACTGACCTGCTCAAACAAAAAAAAACTTTCCATGAACCTGAGCTGACTGCTTCCTAACAGAAACCCTCAAGGCAGAAGGCCAGGCAGTACGCCTGCTGCTGGGCCTGGGCTTAAATGCAGTGGCATCTCGTGTTCCTTAATAAGCTGCTGGGCCTGAGCCTGAGCTCTGTAAGGCAGTGAGTGGACTGGCTATACCTCATGGCACAGTTGAAAGGACAAAAAAAATGCTCATAAAAAAAGTGTTGAAAGACAAACAAATTGAAACATCTCAAACAGAATATCGTAATTTAGGCCAACACACTCTGGATTTCTTCAAATCCATTTTCCAGTAACTAAGGCTCAGTGTTAGGTATCCTGTTATTATTCTAGTTCGGTATCTAAGGACCCCATTGGATGGGTTCAAACCTTTTCACAAAGTATTTTTTATAGACATCTAGCATTATTCAAAAATAACTGAATAATTCTTTGGTGCACAGTCAGATGCAAAATTACTTTTACTTCCTGAGCCTTGTACATTTTAGACATAGTTGAGCATGGAATTCCAACTGCTCCTCTGAATTGGGGATTGGCCTCCTCTTTGGCTCCATCTGCTGTATGGTAAGAGAACTGCAATGAGTACAAATTCAACATTCACCTTTATCTGTATCTTTTTCTACAGTCCCTAAATAGATGAAAATGACTTCTCACTGTATTAGACAATGACTTCTCATAAGAGTTAAATGAGACACTAGTTACAAACACAGCATTAACTATTGGGTTGCCAAATTTCTAGTCAGGGATTGACAGTAATATTTAGAATTTAGTGATCAGTGGTCATTCTTAACACACCACAGTGCACAACAAGGAAATGTGTCCTCTGGATTTAACCGATATGTGACGTTGTGACATAGCAGGGGGCAGCTAATTCAGCACCTGGGAAGCAGTGCATGGGGGCGGTACCTTACTCAGGGTACCTCAGTGCTGCCTTGCTGGGTGGGGCTAATTCAGCACCTGGGGAGCAGTGCATGGGGGCGGTACCTTACTCAGGGTACCTCAGTGCTGCCTTGCTGGGTGGGGCTAATTCAGCACCTGGGGAGCAGTGCATGGGGGCGGTACCTTACTCAGGGTACCTCAGTGCTGCCTTGCTGGGTGGGGCTAATTCAGCACCTGGGGAGCAGTGCATGGGGGCGGTACCTTACTCAGGGTACCTCAGTGCTGCCTTGCTGGGTGGGGCTAATTCAGCACCTGGGGAGCAGTGCATGGGGGCGGTACCTTACTCAGGGTACCTCAGTGCTGCCTTGCTGGGTGGGGCTAATTCAGCACCTGGGGAGCAGTGCATGGGGGCGGTACCTTACTCAGGGTACCTCAGTGGTGCCTTGCTGGGTGGGGTTTCCATCTTTCAATTACAAATGCGCTTCCCTAACAATTAAGCCACCACTGCACTTATTATAAAAAAAAGTGCTATAGTGACTCTCAAAGTTTGATTTTCTTTTTTCTGTGAATGAACCACATTATAATATTTACTGACAAAGAAAATGTATTGCTGCAGATTTCTTTTTTTATATAACAAACACTTATTGTTGATTATCTCATCTAAAATTGGTACATCAGCTGTGATTCAGCATCAGTTTTAAGGTTGTGCTGAACATTTAAGGGAATCTGCTCTATGTCACGTTGTTTTAATAGTACCCAATACCCTTCCAGTTGTTTTGATAGTTGCAGACAAATATGATCATTCTGACTTTCATGATAATGCCATGACTTCTCATTTACTGATGAGCATCTATAGCCAATATCACTAAAGATACCCTGTTAACTCACTAGAAGCCTTCGCTGCAGTTCTCTTAAAGAACTATGGATGCTTATCCCAGAACTGAAGTGAATCTTCATCCTGACAGACACAGGCACGGTCATTCTGGGTTTGAATGTACAAACCAGGCCCTTCACCAGATTAGTCCCACTGGGAAGCCTTTAGTTCCACTGTCACTGTCTATGTGAAGCTGCAATGAGCACTTGGGCACGTGCCTCAGTGACCCCTGAATGTCAGGTGACGCAGGCATGTAAGGCCAGGTACCAAGCACACAATCACAGTGGACACCAGCTCCTAACCTGACTCTCCCCGGTTGGGTGCAGGGAAACGTGGTCGCAGAAACAGCGTGGGTTCCCTGGACAGTACCATTGAAGTAAGTGGGGGTACATTAAAAAAGCAACGGGTGCTTGTACACCCCTCTTCAGCAAAACCACTGGGCAGAGACTGGATCTATTGTTTGTGCCCAGTGGTCCTGCATGCCCCATCACTGTCGAGGGACTGGAATGACTTTGCATGTCCGTGTTCTCACCTGTCATTTTGGAATTTGTTTCTGGATGTTGTTCATCCTGTTTTACTGTGGTATGTTGCACTGGAATGCCATTGCTGACGTGTTTGTGTTTCCACTGTAAAATGAGCAAACTCCCTGCAAACGGCCAGTTACCCCACCTTCACCGGAGAACATATTAACATACGTGGTGCTCAGTTTGTGTAAATGCTTATTAGAGAAAGGAAAGTTATATAGGCAACAATCAATCTGCAGGGTTACAGGCACCCTCTAATTCAGTGTATCGGAACCCGGTCTGGGACACCCAGAAAGTCCACATTTTTGCTCCCTGGGAGCTTGGAGGGAGCAAAAACGTGGAGTGGCTGGGGGTCCCTGAGGACTGGGTTGAGAGACACTGCTCTAATTCACCATTAAGTCGCATCAAAAGGTGGATTGGCTCTCACGGGTACATCAGAAAGCAAGCAGAGTGGAGAATCTGTGCCTTAGATCTGCTCCATCTGTGCTCCATCTGTCTCCGAGCATGAAACATATCGATAAGGCAGCGTTTCCTTACTGAAGGAATGAACCTGGGGCTCTGAGTCTGAGAAACGCTCTTTATTGGATGCTCAGGCCCGCAGAGCATTGAGCATGACTGAGCGACTTAGAGTAGAGGGAAGGGTTACAATTTACATGAGCTCCCTAGGATTTGAACCCACAACCTTTCCTCATTTGTGTTTCGATTCGTTTTGTTCACTGGCATGCTGTTACTGTCGTTGTTGTTTTCCCTGACTTACCTCATTGGCATGTTGTATAAGCAGAAAGAGTCCACATTCTCATTAACCTTCTTATTTCCCCCCTTCCTTTCCTCTGTTCCTCTGTGCCTCCAACCTGTCGCCTTGCTCTTACCCCCAATCCTCCCCCCCCACCCTGTCCTACGTCGAAGGGTTCCATCATTAGCAGCCCTCGACCACATCAGCGCCTCCCCATGGCAGGCGTGGTACCCAGCTGCTATGGCCTGGAAGATTACCGGCTTCACCGCCCCATCCTGAGCCCCGGAGTGGGGGTGGGGGGTGGGCCGGGGCAACAACATACCGCTGCTGGGACAACGGGAGTGAGTGGAGGTGGAGGAGTGTCCAGCAGCAGCGAGAGAGGAGGGCTGGGGAGTGGCAGCGGGGGGAGCAGCTCTGGCTCCTTTCTCGGCTCCCTGTTTGGCAGCAAGCGATCCAAGGCCCCGGGGCCCATTATCCCCCCGGGGCCCATTATCCCCCCGGGGCCACATTACCCAGCGCCCGTGCCCCCCCCCACCAGCGGCGGCCCCCCACCACACTCCCCTTCTTCTCTAAGCCAGTCCGAGGTGGGCGGGCCCTCCAAGATCCAAGCCCTGCACGCACAGTACTGCCACAGCGGCGGCGCTGGGGGGCAGCCGCCTCCCCCATACCACCACCATCATCGCTACCACGTGCAGACCATCCCGCCACCTGGGCAGACGTCCACCGGCCAGGCCTCAGTGCTGCACACCCTGCAGAGAGGCTCCCTGCCCCGCCGCCCACCGCCCGCAGCCTCCCACGCCCAGCTACAGCAGCTCTCGCAGCTCGGCCCCATGCCCCAGCATGGCCTGCCAGGCCGCTATGCCAACATGGGCATGGCCGTGAGCTGCGTGCCGCCCCCGTCCCCACACTCGCCAATCTCCCCGTATCCGCTGTATCACATACAGCCCACACACTCTGTCCGGGGGGGCGCCGGACCAGGCAAGCTGCCCCTCACGCTCACTCACTCCCACCCCCATGCTCACATGCTGCCCCACTCGCACACGCACCCGCACCCGCACCCACACACGCACCCAGGCCTCGCCCACAGCCCCCACCCATCTACCGGCCACCCCGGGCATCAGCCTCACTTCGTGTTCGCCACTCCGCCTCCGCCGCAGCCCGGCCCCATCACCGCCCGCCACCTGCCGCAGGGCGCCCAGTATCTGCCCCAGTACCCTCCACTCTCCTCAATCCCCCCTCCCCCACCACACTCCCCTTTACCCCCCCCTTCATCCCCCCTTACCCCGCTTACGCCTCTCTCCCCTCACCCCCCCCAGCACCCCGGGCAGCCACAACAGTCGGTCCAGCAGGGCGGCCACGCCGGAGGGGCCGGGAGCGGCGGCACCGGCACGGCAGGCAGCTCCAAGTCCAAGCCTATCAACCGTATCAGTACTGTGGTATGAGAGGGGCACAAGGCTGGGGCCGCAGGACCAGGGGGGCCCGGGGGGTGCCGTGGTGGAGGCCGGCGGAGGCGAGCCGGGTCCGCAGGAGGCAGAGTCGGAGGCGACGTCGGAGGGGCGGCCGCCGCAAAAAGCGCAGCCTGCTCCGCCTCTGCTACTTTCATATCCGCTTCCCGCGCGTGTAGCGAGCGAGTGAGCAAGCGAGCGAGCGAGATGCGTGTGCTGCAGAAACGGCCTGGCGCTCACGCTCACGCGCACCGCCTCTTCCACACTCCCCAAACCTGACATTTACTGGGAGTCCAGCAAGGACGGCTGTGCGTGTGAGGCGATGGCAGGGGCAGACAGGGATGGGCAGGTTGCTTTTCAGAAGTGAGTATTTGTGCTTTGCAAATAAAGGGCTTCTGTTTCCTGATTGTAACAGAAGTTACACTAACTGCATGCAGCTGCCAAACGGGATTCACTAATCGGGTTGCCAAACTTCTAGTCAGGGATTGACAGCATTAAGGTTCCATTTTGCTCCATTTCACAGCAACTCGGCGGAGGAATTTCATATCTGTCAGAGAATGAACAGATGCCTTTGTTTCTCTGATTAAGCTCGGCTGAAAGAAAGTGGAAGGACTGAAAAAGTTGTGAGAAAATAACAGAAGATAAAAGAAGATGTTATACAGGTGCTCAGGTTTCAGTAGAGCGATGTCTGGGATGCTGGGGATGATCCATAGGACGGCTGAGCGTGGAGTCGGCATGCACACACTGATGGTGTTATTTAGGATAACAGAAGCACACGCCTGCAGTCCTGTACTGTATATATACACTCATGGGCAGAAGGTCAAACAGTGACAGACTTAGCCAGCCTGTGTGCTGCTGTATCCACCCATTAGGGAAAGCTACTGTAGATACGCTATGAACAGTGGCAAACGCAAAGCCTGAGGTCCAGTGACTCTTTGGATGGGTGCAGCCTGGACAGGCCGCCGACTGCTTCAGACAGCTGCCAGATGGACAAATTTACAAAGCTTAACCTGAAGGGTTTCAGGGGGAACTAGGCAATATGACTGGAAACATTATTCAGTGATGCCTTTGCGATTTGGCTCATCAGTGATGATCCAGCCAAACCAGCATCCAGAAAGTGTTCTTGTTTAAAGTCAACATACATTTTCATAACAGCGTTTCATAACGGTTTTTTTTTATATGTATATACCATTTTTATCCATTATCCATCCAAGTATAGAATGCCATTTTGGACAGTTCCAGAAGCCTGTGGGGCAGAATTTACTCTCCTCTGAAACACTCCGTCAAGCCGATGGCTTTTTTTTTAAAAACATACTGCAGGTCACATAACAGCAAACGGGCAGCTAAAGGCAGAGTCTCTGTGGGGCTCTGACTGGTCTGTGGCAAGTCCTGCTGGCTTAAAACCATCCCCCCATGCTGGATCAATGCCAATTACCTTCCTGCCTCCTTACATCTCTGCATCTGAAAAAACAGAGGACTCATTCGCTGCACTCATTCACTGGTAAAAGTATCTTCATGTTTCTATTTTTCTATTTGAAATCGGTGGATTTGTCATCTGTAAACTATAATGCAGTCTAAGTATAACGAAAAGATGTTTAACTTTACCATCCTATTTGTACATTCCAAAACTCACTACTATTCTGGATGGTGGAGATGGTGGGTGATCCTATTTGATCTGCTGTATAGGTAAATTGTAGACAGATCAATGTCATTCCATTTTCATTCTATTTTATCTGTTATCATGGGCATATGGGAGTCTGCAGCAACTTGCGACAATTTTTTGAGAGATTATTTAAACCCTGCAGGGAAAAGGACAATCTGAACCATTTAGGTTTTTCACTCTTATTTTTCAGTCAGTCAGTGAATAGCCATAATAGTTTTAATCTATTTTTTTCTTCTTCTTCTGGGAATAAGCCAGCAAAGTAGTTGTGAACCAAAGTGGAACCCTGCAGATGTTTCAATTAGAATTTACATACTTCGCATTCAGATTTGTAATTCCTCGCATATCCATCCATGTGTGAAGAAGCCACTTCTAAAATAACTAGATCTGAATAAGCTCTGGAATGGGTTTATTTAGTTTTTCAGAGTTATCAGACCACCATTTTTTCCAGTACCAAAAGAATGTTTAACATACATAGAAGTATGTATCAGTAACATTCCATAAAATGAGAAATGTGGCATTTAAAAGACCCAAATAAGCTGATAGGTGCTGCAATTGTGACTGAGGTAAGGCAGAGAGCAGAGAGACCAATGGACAGACAGAAGGGAGACAATTTGCTCAGTCTGTTGGGATTTATATGCATTTCCCTTCAAGTATTTTTACATTACTGTTATTACTAATTTTTATTTGCAAACTTTAGTCTATTTTTGCTGGTATCAGTGTTAAATTGATCATTCCTATTATGAATATGCTCTTTGTAGAAATACTAATTTTTACTAACAATTGCAGTCCTATGATGAACGAGCAAGAAAAATGTTATAAATACTCTAGCTATGGAAATCCCTCTCAGACTTTGATTGTACAGGAGAGCCTGATGCTGTGTGTGTTTGAGGTTGAGTTATTATAATGTCACTTATTACTAATATTGTTGAAATTGTTGTTAATGGTGTAACTGCTATTATTGATATTATTAATTATTGTTTCTAGCAGAACAGTTTTTCTATAATTTTTATATTGTCTTCTAAAGGAGTCACACGATATGCTTGTGTGTTTGCGCGCATCTGAAACACTAAATTTATAGGAGCAATCATTTGATTTATTTTAAGAAAGTGATGATATGAGTTGTTTTATTTCAGTTGCATCATAAAAAAAAAAAAACTCGCCATGACATTTGACCTATATTGTTATATTAAATTACACACTTATTGCAGAGGGTACTGTATCTACAGCTGCATATATTCATGGAAAAATATAGCATGTCACGTTATCTGTGCATACACAGAAACAGCAAATCAACATTGTTTATTTTAACAGCATCACAGTGTTAAGGTGCCGCTTTGGATACATTTTTGTAGTTTTGCACACAGTGAGTACACTGTTGAGCCCCATTCCTCTTGCCACCACCCTGGCCTCTTCTTTCGTCCCTGTTTCCCTAGTACCACCTCTTTCTCAGCTTAAGTGTGCTTCACGCTGCCTTGGACTTGGCTGTATTCTACTACGTACTATATCACGTTAACAGAAGGGAGCGGGTGAAAGATGCACTTACTGGCTGATGGAGCTCCACTGTACTGTAACGTGCTTGTTCGTGCTGCTTCGGACTTGACTGAGCTGTACAACATAATCGGCATTAATGTCGGCTGGGGTACCCATCGATTAACAGACAGCCTAGCCTCTCTTGTTTACTTTTATGCATCAAAGATACTGCATTTGCCCTCTTTTCTCTCTTTTATAAAGATTTGAGCCCTCCTATACAGAGGATTGCACGTCTCCTCGAATGAAAGCTGAATAATGAAACAAGCCCAACAGACATGACCAGTGAGGGGAGTCTGGAGCAGTGCTTACTTATAGGGAATATGGGAAAGAGAGAGGAGAGGGCTTCTGTTGATGTCTTTGGCTTCATGTATTGGCTATCACTGACCCCAGTCAGAACTGCCAGTGTCTTCCCATTGTGATTCATGTTGCATGTGTATCTGCACTTACTGAATGAAGCTGTACAGACCTTAATGTACATATTATCTTATATAAATAATCAACATTGACTATGGAATGGATTGTACCATGTTTCTGTAATTCAGGGGATTTGGCAGAATTAATATTGTTTTTATCTGGGTTGGGAATGAGGGAAAAATGTAACTGTAAAGTATTAGTATGTGTGTGTCAGAGGTCTTAATATTATTTTAAACAGACCAGAAATATATATGGAATTTTATTTGTATATATATG